TCTTCATCTCCGCTGCTGCTCTCCAGCTGCTGCTGCTCTTCCAGCAGAGCCATGCCCACCAGGTGGAGCACCTGCAGGTGAGGTACAAACACACACACACTTTGAATCTGATGTTTTATTTAGGACAGCGGGCGGCCTCTACAGGTGTTTCTGAAGATTCCAGTGATGATTAAAGTCAGCCATTAAAGCTCCTGATCTAACACTGATGAACCACACACGAGAAAACAAAAGCGGGACGCAGAGCTGACTATCGAAAACAACAACGCAAATCTCCGCTTTCACCCAGCTTCCTCACCAACACCAGATCCCTCACAAACAAAAGGGAGGAGCTACAATCAGAGATGTGTAACTGAATCCTGGCTCCATCCTAACATCCCTGATGCCCCAGTGGAGTCACCAGGCTGGACCCTAAACCACCAGGACCACAACAAAGGTAAGGGCAGGGGCTGTAGGACTACAGTCGTAACAACACAACTGTAAACAGTCACTGCTCACCGGAGGTCATGTCCATTCAGTGCAGGCCCTTTGATCTACCTTGCAAGCTAAAGGTAGCCATAGTTACCATTGTTTACATCCCCCTGATGCTAACGTTAGCTCAGCGCTCAACCACCTCCAACTTACTATTAGGTAACAGCAGAGAGAGCATATCTGTCCATATCGTTGTTGGGGACATTAATGAGGCAAGTTTGCAATCTGTACCAACAGGTCGAGCGTCCTACCAGGGGACAGTACAGTACTCGTGTACTCGTCATCAGTCGCAGACCAAGTACTGTTCCAATTCAAAGTACGCATCAAGCCGAGAACGTGAAAAATTCCCGGATGTGTTCTCGCTCCGCCCGTTTTATCGAGCATACATCGATGGTGACTTGTGTGAACTTGGTACAGCTAAATATCCCAGAATGCATTTCGTCCAAAGCTCAAACATGGCAATAGTGGAGGAGCGCGGCTAAAAACGTTTAAATTTAAATATTACTCTTTCTGGGACACAAAATAAAATTTTTAGATTCTTTCAGGCGAGAATGTAAACTTCAAATATCTGCTCGGTTTATCAAAACCGACTCCGACGTTTTCAGAGATGTCTGTTACCCACCAGCTCCATAGCTGACCGGGAGGTCAAGGGTCACTAGAGCCATCAGAAACAGCGAACTCCCGGCACATTGTTTTCAAACCACCTGCGGTCTTTGGCTGCTCGGGTTAAACATGATATGTAAGTCACGTAGATCACTTCTAAATGTTAATGTTTATTTCAGTGTTTTATTTGTTCCTGAGTAAACCGGTTTGGCTGAGATGAAAGTTCAGCTTCATGACATATTACTCACAGTTAAGAGGTGACAGCAGTAACAACTGTGACATCATCAAGTACGCAGGTGTTCCAATTGTACAAATCGTGAGTACGGACTCGCATATTGAGGAAGGCCATGGTCTGACTAACCCCCATCACTCAGGCCACTCACACTGTGTTCAGACCAAGTCTTTGGACTGGTTCCCAGACCTCACCAGTGTGTCCCTGCTGTTGCTTATTTCTTCCTGCTCCCTCATTTACATTTTATTTCACGTGCAACGGCAATAAAGAGCTACTCTATGCTAAACACACACTCACCCTCTGCAGCATGGACTCAGTCCAGCCCCCCCCGCTGGGCTCCACGGCCCACTGCAGCACGGCGCCCTCTATGGCGAGCAGCACATCACATTGCAGGAGGTTCACCAGGCTGCCGAAGAGAGGGCAGAGGGGGGGAGGAGGGGGAGGGGGCAGGGCTATGCACACAAAGACACGTTACCAAGGTGACCATGTCATCCATCAGTCTTCCTGCTGGTGTTTTGTACAGGTGTGCTTACCTGTGTCCTCGCCACTCTGTCTCCTCAGCTTCCTCTGAGCTTCCTCAGCCTGAAACACAGGATGCAGCGTTACCATAGCAACAACATGTACACCAATCAATAACGCTCTGATCCGCATCCAGATCAGTGAGCGTACCTTTGACTGGTCAGCTCTGCTGTAGTGATGGAAGTACAGGTTGAAGTATCTGTTCCACTCAGGGCGGAGCTCATACAGCCCTCTACCTGTCACACCTGGCTTCCTGTTAGTACAAATACACACAGTACTGCAGTACAAATACACAGTAATACACTCAGTACTGCAGTTATTGTAACATAGAGAACAAAGAGAAATTGTAAGGATGCACGTGCATTTAAGGTGGACTGATGATATTTGAAGACTGACTTGAATGAAGCCACGCTGTCGATGACTCTCTCCAGCCCCGTCTCCTTGTTCCCCTGAAGACACAAACTCAGGTTATTACATCAAACTGAAAATGTTTCAGCGCACAGAAGTAAAAACAGTAAATTCCCTG